TTGAGGTATACCTATGATGAAAATTACAGGCCTCTCTCATCTTTTTAAGTGGGAGAACTTGCACAATTGGTGGCTGACTAAATACTTTTTTGCCCCACTGTATATAATATGGTGCTACGGCAAATGTAAAACCTTTCTGAATGGTTCAGTGTTACTAAATCATTAATGGAGAAGGAAAGTTCAGTTCTAAACTATACATCTTGTTTAAGCATGAAATGCTTAAACAGAGCACTGGAATTGAACTGGGAAGCTGAGGGTTGTTAAATATGACAAAAATTTCATACTACAGTATAAAAAATTGGCTGCTCCCCATGAACTGCAGAATTGTGTTTGTGAACTTCTTGGCAATGTTAGCAATGTAGTGAATATCAGAACAAAACTCACATTTACCTTCTTGAAAAGGATGGGGCAAGAAGTTATATAGAAGATCTAGAAATGCTATTAATGGTACCTGGATTTATTTAAATAATACTTTAGGATTATTGTTGATTATAGTGGTTATTTTCATTGGTAAAACTTAGGCATTAAAGGCAGTTACGGAGATTTTGGATGAAGCAAGAAGAAAACAAAAAGCCTTGCTGATTGATACACAATGTTTAATTGTTTATATTTATATTTACTCTTACTGATGGAAGTAGCATATAAATTTAATAGGAACTTATCAGTAAAAACTGCCAAAAAGAGTATTATGTACAACAGTTTAGGAAAATGCTATCCTATAGAGTGGAGTTGGACAAATATATAATTTCCAAGTGCCTTCAAGAATAGTTACCTTAAAAAAAAACTATATTGGGATAAATTGTTAGCATTAAAAACAAGCAGATTATGTTAAAATTTCCTACAAATAGCAAACATATAAATAAAGATGACATTTAACAAAGTATCACTAATTTGTAAAAAATATTCATCCCCTTTTGGATTTTCTGAAACTTTTCATATATTGTTATTGAATACTTCATGTGGGTCCTTCTCACATACAAAGGAACATCAGTAAACAAATACCAGCAAGGTTTTGTGCTTGTTTCATTATTTCATATCCAAAGTCATCCAATATGTGATATGCCAGTGTGAAAAAGTAATCATCTAAGTAGGTTCAGTAATTGCATCTTTTACGTTGCTGTGTAGGAATTTTGATAAACTGTTTCAACTCAGTAACATCTGATGATTTTTTATCCTGAACTTCATCTTTGGCTAACAGATAGATGAAGGACGGAAAAAAAAAAAGATTTAAGCTCCAGATACCCAGCTGTCAGTGAACACAGTTTATTTACTCATAAGGAAGTAAGGACAGAGTTTTTCTCTTTTTTACTTAAAATAGCAGAGTCCAGAAGTGATTTATATACATTTCTTGGACAGATAGCTATAACTGAATCACAATTGCAAAAGGAGCAAGCCATGCAGAAAACGACAGGAGTAGGTCAGGAGCACATTTCTGAAGGAGAAAACCAAAGCTTGAGAGGAGTACGATGCTTCCTCCTTTAGCAGCAAAGGTGCTAATAGATACCCTTCAGGTCTTATTGTGGTCAGGAAAAGGTCAAATCAAAAGAAAAAAATAGGGAAAATGAGACTTTTTAAGAAAAGAGAGCATTCATTTAAAATTCCTACACAATCTCCCCCCACTCCCATATGTTAGTATAAACAAATCTAATACTCAGTGGACATTGTTCTGTATGTCTCACAATCTACACAGTCCAGTTGATTTATGGGAATTGTGGAGAACTGCATAGTTTGCTCACTTTATTTGGAGGTGGCCTTTGAGCTTCCCATTTAATAAGGGGAAATACAAAGTACATTATGCCACAGTAATAAGAAAAATAAATAACCCTTGCAGTAGGTAGTTTCCCCAACTAGATAACCCCCGGGACATTCAAATGTTCATTTTGTGTACGCCTCCTGGACTTTGGTCAGAACAGAATAAATTTCTTCTTGTCAGGGGCAGAAGCCAGAACAGCCTGTGCACATCCCTCTCTGGCTGCCAGCACCTGATCAGCGTATTTACTAGAGAGATGTTTGAGTGCCCACCGGACACAAACAACAGTACTTATCCCAGTAAGGCTGTGACCCCCTTCCTGTAAGTGCTGGCACAAGTGAAGGAATATATGGGGCATCTGAGACAAAGGTGATATTCACTAATTTAGCACTGTTTCTGATCATTACAGACAGAGTTCCCACAAAACACCCAGTGCCACTGCATTGGAGGCAAACCAAAGCAGAGGGAGGTGAAAAATATTCAGAAAGATTTTTCTCAGCTACGGCCTGGGTGCTATTTACCCATAAATCTTTCATCCAAGGACGTTTCATCTCCAAGACTTTAGAAGGGTGAACAGTCATGGGGATTCTCTCCTGACATGGATGGACATGCATGCATAGATCCACCAATTACAAACATCCAGATTATTCATATGGCAAAAGATGATCTGGAAGTAAGAGTTTCCTTGTACTATGCTAAAGCAATAAAAAATTAACAAGAGCGCCAACATTTTTACACTACTCGCACCATGCAGTAACTCGGCTGTAGGAAATGTGATGCTTAGCAGGACAAGCAACAACCATAAACTAAGCCCCAGTTCCTGGCTGGAGGGCATTAAGGTAGCACTGAACAGACTTTGATCAGGTAGTTTTCCATACCATGCTTTGGCGGCCATGGTAGCATTTTATTAAAGTGTAATGCTCTTGGTTCTGTCCTGGGGTTTGACTAAGGATAACTATTTACAATCCCAGCACCCCAAAATACAGTATTATAAAATCAAAGCAACAATAATAATAAACAGAAAAATAAGCCATCCCCTTCTCCCTCTGGTCCAGTGTCCAGATGGCACCTGGTTCATCCTTGAGATTTTCTGTGGATGAGTCTGTCCCTTTGTAGTGCAAGAGGTGAATCCAGGTGGGATCTTTGCAGCACACAGCAATCTTGGTGATAAACAGCACATGTAAGATCCCTTCCACCTCAACTGGAGTGAGGCATTTAATATATTCAGTCCTCTGGTTTGGGTTGTAGCAGACACTTTGAGGGAAATCAGGTCCCCTAGACCAGGGATAGGTTCTGATTGTAGAACATAGTAGTCAGCACAAGATGTTCCAAAAAAGGTTGCATGTGTAGCAGAGAGGCTGTGAAAGGTTACAGCAAGAACAGCATCACAAATGGCTTGATAGGCAGCATGTGAAATAGCAGGGGAGGAGAGCATGTAAAAGGTTTTTTAACAAGTGGAGCATCTAGAAAGGAGGAAAACAAGCAGAATCCAAAACTGCAAAAGGGGAGAGGCTAGCATAAACACTTTTAAACTTGCCTTGGGCTCTTGTAAGCAAGAGCCATCAATATTGGGGTTTACAAAGGCTCTCGGTGGGCACAACACAGCAGGTTTTACTATCAATTTGTATAACTAGATTGTAGAGTCCTTGGGGTTCTCTGAGCTTGGTTCTTTTCTTGCAAACGTTTTATTACCCGGCTAGGTAATGAACAACGACAGAGGAACAAAGGAAGAACAGTGACAGATGAAAAGCAGTGGACCCATCCTCCCACACTTCTATGGACGACCAAAAATACACAAGCCTGACATACCACTCCGACCAATTGTATCTTTACCAGGGATCCCAACATATAACATAGTGAAAGAACTGACAAAAAG